TACTTTTACGAATGCTTTCTTCATTTCTGTTTGCAAGCCTTTCATATCGGATTGAATGTTTTTAAGAATTACCATCACTGTGTATAGCTTGAAATTATTTCTTCGAAGCGCGTTAGTTTCGCTTGACAGGTTTCTGGACCTGGGCCGGGATATAATTCAATGTTCCCCGATAGTTGAAGTAACCTTATGATAAATGGGTTTCCATTAGTCCCATTGAATGAGACAAAGGAACTTTTCAATATCAGACAACTCGCTGCGTTTGTTCCTCCAAAACCAACGTTATACCCAGTCTGCAGTGACGGTTTGCATTCAAGTTCCGATATCCCAGATGTTATCATGTCATTCATCTTTATCTAATGAAATGTGTAGTCTATCCCATTTACCAAACAATTGGCACCCATTATTGTATACTAACAAACAAAAAACACCTGTAGCCATCTTGAATATGACGAATACGGTAACCATCAACCGAACCCATCTTCCAACTCAGGTGAACACACTTTCCAATGACTGCTCTCCATAAGCCTGTTACAATCCCCATGATAGCTTTATTAAATAACCGTGGAAAGTATGTTAAAATGGCCGGTTGCAAAAGCATAACAAGTCTTCCTCAAGTCTCTTGCTTACCGAGGTCTGGAGAAATGTGACTTATAGCATGTTGGACGATACAATAACTCCCAAAGTGAGTTCCACCGTTTCAACTGAACAAAGCGTTTACAACTTGCAAACAGAGTTTCGATCAGATCGATTGTTCGTATTTGTTACTTGGGATCAAATGTTCAATGGTCGTATTTCTAGGGTATGTTTTGTCCGACCGAATGTAGCCTATTTATAGCTGAATTGAAATTAAAATAAAACTTGACAAGCACAGAAATGTGTGTGTTCAGAGAAGGAACACGTCTTTACGAGGAAGACTCAATGGATTATTCACGTCCTTGCATGTAATATTTGCTTTTGCAGGGAACAAAAAAAAATAACACACGGAGAGACTTACCTATACTGAATTTGATTTCCCAGTACCCACTTCATGGCTACTCTGTTGACATTGGCTATTTATTTTATTGATTTAGCTCTTGGACTGACTGACTGACAACACGTACACAGAATGGCTAAAACGCTCACTTTTCATACAGGATTAAAACAAATTCCTTATGATTAGCAAGATTGTATATAATCATAAGAATGAATAACAATCAACAAATAGTAACCAAAGCAGATGTTAATGCTCGAAAATGAAAATTATTATCCCAGGAGCAGCTGGGGTTAGTAACTCTTCTATTTATTATCATAGCAGAACATTTGGCGACACTGAAGTATATGGTATATAGTATATCATTTTACCAAATAAACAAATGCAACATAAATAAAACATTGGAGTCTGTAGCAGACGTATGCTATAACTGCACAATAAGGAACTCAAGGTCACTGGATTTTTGTAAATGACCACGAATAAATATTGAGTTTTGTTTACAAAACCACGTTCTGACCAATCAGCGTGGCGACCCTGAACATGAGACATGATAATTATTCTCCTGTGCTATAGACTAAATCTTCCACCCAGCTATGACTAAGTAGGAGCTAATGAGTCATCTCACAATGGAATAGAATCTTCCATAAAAGTCTTTATATGTCTTCCAATTTCGTAACAAATCGTTATGGCATTTGTAAAGAGATTTTTGGAGTAAAGATTCTTATTCAGATAACCAACTGAAATAGAATAATCAGTCACGATATGGTTTCTCTGCTTGTTCAAATAATGAAACCAGACACAGTTGCATTATTAGTACAGCTGCCAAATATGTCTTTGTTACCGAATCTTGGACTTGAGAAACGCAATGTGGTGCTAGCCAAGTTCGATATTAATCAAACACATTGCCAGAAATGGACAATAGAAAATTATTCAATATGATGTCATATACTTTAAAGGTTGAGAGTCTATTGTTATGTTAAGTAGTTCACATCTTGGGCTTGGAAACAATAGTAAGTGAGGTAATCTTTTGTTATCTTTGTTCTGTGCCCACTTGTATTTGTTAGCTGATCATATGAAGCCATGTAATAAATGGTGTTGGTTGCCAGAGAACGAGATACCCTTAAATACACTCTTATGATGGCATTGAAGACAGTCACCTGATATATACCTAATACAAAAATATGTGAACAGACTAATCTTGTAAATATCATTGTGGACATCAATGACGATTGGTATGCAAATTACGTTTGTATGACTTATTACAAAACAAAAGTCGCGACTGTCGTGGAACAATACACAACTCACGGACAGACAGTATGCTGAAACCCCTCTTTTATTAAGAGGAAAAACGGCCGATACATTATATTGATCTTGTGGTCAGACCTTCAGCATCAAAAGCAGTATGGCGATAGTGGTTCGCGTTCGAAAAATAGGTTGATTTAACATGGAATAACGACATAAAATAAATCTTGATTTAGGTTACTTCCTGTTGTTAATTGGATTAAAACAGTTATATTTGCCCACAACTGGATCGTACATCTGTGTAAAAAAATGCATGAATTTCAACTCTAATTTGGACAGCGAATACTGCGTCTACAACTGCGCTAGCTGCGTCGCAATGTTCATTGAACCAGAGAGTATCCAGAACGAAGCAAACAAACTTTAACAGTCACCTGCGTTACTGCATTTTCTTATTTGTAAAAATAGAGTCTGGCACACAAATACACATCGTTAATTGGTAATACACTGGGCCAGTGTAGAATTTATCATCTGGTTTTACGGCAGGTTGCGCATTTAACGGTGGAGTTTTAATGGAAACATCTATAACATATCGACAGCTTGAAACGTCGCCTGTCTATTAGGAAGCACACAAAAGTTAAAAAATATAAACTCAAAATTAAATTTTGTTTTAATATATGTTTATGCAATGCATTTTCTATGGCACATTATGTGATGTTTATTTGACTGGGGTACACTGGCCAGGGCGGAAGTCGGCCATCTTGTCCACACATTTCTGGCGATGATCCGCATCCAGGCCATGTTATCAAGACCAGGAGCGGTAAATAAAACTAGTGGTAAACATTTTACGTTTACAGGCTCATAATTTATTGTGTTCAATTATCCAGTGTATTTATTGAGAATCTTGTTTTTTTAAAAAGATTGAAAAATTCCTTTTTAGGCTTTTCGAAAGCATAAAATAAAACGACTGTGGCACGTTTTCTTAAGGTTTTCAACAGTTATATCATTCATTGCGCTCTTATTGAGTCCAAGACGTCGGTTCATATGTTCACATTACTATTGTGTATAGGTTTTATTGGCACTGTTTACGTGGAAAGTTAAGTTATTAGACATTTAACAAATCGTGCTTATGTGCATAAATCAATTCCAAGTGACCCCGAGTAATCAAATAGTATAGCCCAGTACGGCGTCTGGCCGATAAATACACTGAATTCATAAACATAAATGATATTGAAATTGTACCAAAGATAATTGTTAGCGTGTGTGGAGTATTTTGTTAGCAGGTCTTAATCCGACAAAAAATGTTTTGTTCTTGTTCGTGAGTGGCCCTGGCAACCTATGGGATTCGCGACGTAGCTCTGTACATCTGCGTGAATTTGCTCTATTTAGTGTTTTAAGAACGGAATATGCGCTTCGTGGTAATCTTTATAGCCACATACTGTACGTTTCGTGCAAATACTGTGTCCAGGGCGACCCCTGCAATTTACATTGACTTATCTTGCAACATACTGTACATTTCGTGTGAATACATTGAGATCACAGTCCACCACAGGATTTAACACTGATTAATATGTATTTCGTCGAAGGGGATGCAAACAACAATTAATGACAATAAATCACAGTAAACTCAATTGTTCACGCTGGGTAAAAGTTCAACATAAACTGTGAAGTATGACTTGCTTCGTTCTGTCCTCACAGTGGAGTACATGGCTAAATTCTGTATAGGCTTCTTAATTACTTGCCAGGGTTATTCATTAGCTGTTCCAATTCACCATCCTGGCATGGCAATACAGCATATTCTAATGAATGGGGTCTGAAGAAACAAATACTAATTACAGATAATAATTCAACAGAAACTTACAATACCTACTTACAAAACGTACAGTAAGTATATGGCTGAAATGATACAATGACCTTCAGTGTTCTGGGTTATTTCAGTTACCACCAGTTACCAAGAGGCGCGGTATGACTTCATTGGCCCGCTGGTTCGTGCTAGTGTTTCTCATGACCAATCGAAGGTATTAAACACAAATAATTCAATGTTGATCATCATTTTTGGTAGCCACCTTCGCATCGATATCTTGTTTTATCAAATGATCAAATATGTGGGAATTAAATTAAAAAAAAACATTATAACAATCTAAACAGCACCCCTGTATGATGACTGAAGACGAAACAGGGTAACAGCTTGAGAAGATAATACTAAAGTGTGCGATGTTGAATAGTATTTCATTTTGAGACCAAGATAATACAAGTCAAACGGACATTGAAACAACACGATTTGGACCATGGTGATATGAACATTAACAAAAGTAACAAACATACTTAACAATAAATACATACGGAAATGGCACACCTGGTTGACTACGGATTTTCGAATGAATTTAATAAATAATTATATAAACATATTTGTGAAGTATGATACTCATACAGAGTAAAATGGCTTACTGAAACATGAAAATAGTCATTTAAACAGCTTCATACAAGTTCGTATCACACAAACAAATACATGAATTATCATACATCTTTGTATTTCCCAAAGCAGTAATCGGTCAGTGTTGGGTTACATACAGTTGCAGTGGTAATCGACTCTTTTAACACTCAAATGTGCTATGAATAGAGATAATCTACTTGTCTGACAGACCTTGCCCCCTTTATGTGGCATGGCAGATGCCTCGTAGCGGACATCCGGTTGTCATATACATGATTGGCACATTGTTGACACATACTGCCGTAACAATTTCTACATAAGAAGGTTTATTCTCAATAGTCCACATACTCTACAATTTGCTGTTCCACTGATAATACCATGTGTCGTTTTATCGTGTCCTGCCTGGCGATCCTCGCGGTAAGTAACTTTCATGAGTACAGTTAGAATGCCAGGCGTAGTTGTATTTTCAGTTGTTCAATGTTCAGTTGTTAGTGCAATTGTACGGTATCACCTCAGCAAGCAAA